ACATCATGCAACCTTTAACAAAATGACATATCATTACAATGTGCTAAAAAATAGATTAATGATATAATAGGGACAAAAATATTAACTCAATTCGCTCAACAGAATCACAAGTATAAAAAACAGATTTCATCTTTAGCACATGATCAGAAATATGACAACAACTTGTAGTAATGTTAGTCAAGCAGACATTGGACACTAAGAAGCTCTGGCCTGAACATAATGCTGCTACAAAACAAAGCAAACCCCTACAGTGCTCTCAGCATAAACCCAACAAGGGAGGGGAGAGAGAAGAAAAATTTTCACAAATCCTTGTGCCCTTTCCCAAACCCACCTCCCCCAAAAACTGTTACTCACAAGGAAAGATACTAAAAAAATTAAACTACTGATTGAAGAAATCACCCAAAAAAATTAATACTGTATACAGATACATAAATAGTTTACAAAATTTACTGAGGTCTAAGGTAAAAACCTTTACCATCCCTGGTAAAGATTCTCACAATACTCTTTCAGACCATGTAGCTGTTAGCCCTGACTAACCACTTAGTGTGACTTGCATATAATTTCTCCTTACAATATCACCCCTGAGTCACACATTAAGGTTGCAAGAATAAAGGAAATGATCACCATGCAATTAAAGCTCTTGATTGTTAAACAAATTCTCCTTATCAGCAACTTAAGAAATTTATAGAGAACAGTATGAAGAAAATACATATTGGTGTTTGGGTGTAAAGGTTTAATGCTTTAAGAATCCAGAAAGGCAGAGATTTAATAATAAAGGAAAATAAAGTAATATCCATGGTGAGCACCTTAACCCTTTAACTCCCAGAAGTGATTTACATGTAACTTCTCCCTACAATATACATATGTTATCCAACAAACAAGTATTGAGAATACTCAGACTTATCAGTGAGAGGTTGTTATTATGATATAACACCAAATTCTTGTAACTAAATTACAAGGAAATGTGTAACAGCCAGATGGGAGAATTAACAATCAGATCTTGGGAGTTAGACAGTTAAGGGGAAAATCTCACCCATCTACATCCTTCTCTGGAGCTACAGCATTGGTACAAATTGCAGGATCAACTGGGTTTTCAGAATCAGGAGGAAGCTGAACAATGATGCCATGAATTGTTGAATCCTTGTTCAGCTCATCTACAGCTTTTAGAACCTAGTGGTAAAAGAACACAAGAAAAACATGCAATTTACAAGTTATGCAACAGGATGAGAGTAGCATACAATAACTCCATAGCCTTCTTTTCTAATATATAGATTTAGCCAAGCCTAAATGCAGAGCTCGCATTTTTTTTCCCACATGTCTCAAGGGCACAACACCTTGCCCTGCCTAGGACTAAAACCTAGGTCGTCCGACTCGGAGCCCAGTACACTGACCACTGGACTACTGGACAAAGCCGTGGTGTTAGTGTGCCTGTGGTACAGTTGACCATGCATGCTAAAAGTAACACCTTGTATGGCCGTACAGTCGTACGATCATACGGTCTTCCGGTCGTACATTCAAATTTTTTCGGCTTGATGGGTTACTAGTATTTTGTATAATAATGGGGCTATGCTCTGTGAGCTCCGCTGTTACCACTAATACTTTTGTTTGCTTAAATCAAGCTCTATTCCAGGTTACTTGACTGCTTATAAAAATGACCTAGAAACAGGCAACAGAAACACAACACAATTTAACCCTTTAACCCCTAAGAGTGACTAGCATCTAAATTCTCCTTACAGTATCACCCCTGAATCAAACATTTAGGTCATGAGAATAATGGAAATGATCAACAAGTACTGAAGCTCTTGATTATTAAGCAAAATCTCCTTGTCAGCACCTTAGGAAATGTATAGAAAACAGTATGGAGAATATGCATGCTGATCTTAGGGTGTAAAGGATTTAGGTCTATTTGATTAAGTGCTACTACAGAACACACCACCAATTCTGGGTAACTCAATACCTGGCAAAACAGCTTCACACAGAATTGAATGGCATTAACACAGGAATATTTCATATATTTACATTTCATACCAATATGTAGTAGACCTTACAAATCTACTTTCCTTCCAGGCAAGTAAACTTAAATTCCAAGCAACACAACCACAATGTCACCACTTTAATCACCTCTTACACTCACATCATCTGTACAACCACACTATGTAACTGAAGTTATTTAATCAGGTCATCTATTAAGTAAGTGTTAATAAACATAACTCTCACATCTGCTTGAGTACATGTTCTTGGAAGCTTCACATGCCTTGCCAACATCCCAATCTACAAAAAAGAAGATGCTCAGTTTTGTTAACCCTATGACCCTTAGGACTGACCAGCATGTAATTTCTCTTAACAATGTAACTTCTCAATCAAACATTTAGGTCATGAGAATAAAGGAAATGATCACCAACTAAAGAAGCTCTTGATTGTTAAGCAAATTCTCTTTGTTGGCACCTTAAGAAATGTATAGAGAAAAGTATGGAGAATATGCAGACTGATGTTGGATATATATGTAGATCAACTTGATGCTTGAAAAATTTCACCATCCAGTTTCACTTTCAATATTTACATTTACCTCTTCCGCAGCTTTGACTTTAGACTTGATATAAACTGTTGAGTCACTTCGATCGCCAATCTGAAGGAAAAGCAAACTATAAACAGTACTTCATACAAAGAACAACTTAGCCACTTACTCCCAGTAGTGATCAGAAAGGAATTTCTCACACATTTCAATAAATTGTCAAGCATAGGAGTATCGAGAAGAGAGTGGCAAATCAGCTATACTATAAAGAATACTTTCCTTACATCTAACATCAAATTCTCAGAACTAAAATTGCAAGATAGAAATGTATGGCCTATAATACAAAGATACTGGCTGGCAGTTTTGGTCAGCACTGCTTTTTTATAAGCAGCTCTGTAATGATAATGAAACACCATACCTGAACAATGGCAAGGCCTGGCTTAAACCCTACATTTTCTTCCTTGATGGCTGCAACATCTTCTTTCAACTTCTGACGAATCTCACTGCAAAAATAAGAAACAGTGGGCAGGTTTACAATCCATGCCAAACACAACTGAAATGACCTGATTTTCTAATATTACTGGCCACTTCCTGTGCACAAGTGATTTCAACTCCTACTGTGAGACCCAATGTTGTGAAAATGAAGCTGTGACAGCCTTAACTAAATTTGCACATCGTGTTTATGACCTAACCACAGTCTCACCCTTGTACATGCTATATTGGGCATGCATTATAAAGCCTTGAATAGTCATTGTTCAGAATCTTGAAAATTAAAACTTAACCACATTGGGTAGCATTTGGTAAAAATGTCTGATCAATTAACTCTTTCACTAACAAGATCTCATCAGGAATTCTCTTTACTGTCTCCAATACATTTCTTCTGATGTTAGCTTGGACAATTTGGTATTGGATAAACTAACAATCCTCTAATATTGACTGTCTGTTTGATTTTGTATTGGTATTGTAAGGAGAAATTCTGTCTTGTTCACTCATGTGTGTTAAATAGTTAGGAATTTCTATTTAAAGGCTAAAATCATCACTAACTTTAGCAGTTCCTAAAGGTACTGGATTGATTTAATTTAAATACATATTACATCACTAACTTTCCAAGATGCTTTTGAAAAAGGAAAGAGAAGTGAACAGGATATAAAGGTGACAACCCCCCTCCCCCCCAAAAAAAATAAATAAAAATTGGATAAAGTAAATATATATTTATATTGGAGGATGAGGCAAAAATAGTTTAAGAAAGAGGAAAATTTGGCTTACATTCAAAGGAAATGCAGCAAGGGTCTATCAGATACAAGTGATCACTAAATGACCCCCATGTATTGAGGTTTAAAATTGGATCCCTATGGGTGAGGCGTGATCACCACACAGCGCTCTAATTAACGAGATTAATTAATTTCCACGACCAAAACATTATTGTTTTCCAACGAATGTTTCACACTGTTATTAAAATCAGTTCCAGCCCATGGTCGACTGGGTAAGTGTTCAATTGAGACTGACATCAGACAGTGCTTTACAACTGTAAAACACACTCACACTATAGGCACGTGCAAGGTGACCAAACGATCACGTAAACCTCGAGAATCACACAAATATCAAAATACAAAGCGTATTTGATGAATTTTTCTTTACAAATAGTAAGGGGATAATTTTAATTCCAATATCTGGTGGGAAAAAAATGCAAAACATGGTTTACCTCGCCACTTCTTTGCCAAGAAGTAAATGTGCATCAGTAGCAACTTCAGCCATGTTGTTTCAAGGCGCCAAAAGTTCCCACAATACATATGGGCGCTCAAAAAACTGGAAAATCAGGATTTGTGGACAAAGAATCTGGGTTTTAAGGGACGTCACCTTTGTCTCACGACAAAACACATACGTTTTCCGTTAGCTTCAGCGATTAAGTGAACGAGTTACGACGCAACAACTCTTAGAACCCTAAGCTAGATTGAAAACGGTCGACATCTTCTCTGAAGGCTTGTTTACACTTAGTCAGGGCACTGTTTTTCCAACGCGTGTTTTACATTCTAATCGTCACGCTGCGAGTATTACACGAAGTGAGCACTAATGACAAACTTATCTCAAAACAATACTAGGGTTGTTCAGCATTGCACAATGTTCTATACAACACCGTTTGACATATTTTTGTCCATCCTTGCGCAGGAAATCTCCAGAAAGCAATGACTTTCTTTTCGATGAATACACCAACCAGAAAACGCTTTTAAGTTAAATGAATGATAAAATTGAAATATAATCGTAATAATAACAATAAATGATGATGACAATAAAAAAATAATGGTAAAAATTAGAATTGATAACAATAATGTTAACGATAATGATGATGATGATAATAATAATAATAATAATAATGATGACAATAATAATGAACATTATGATAATACTTGAATACTTCAAGAATCAGGCAAGTTTAGTAACAGATTTTCTTTATTCAGATCATACAAATTCAATCAATTCATTTCCTAGAAAAAATATTATACCTCTATTAAAAAAATAAGCATGAAGTCTGTAGTAATTACAAATGCAGACTACATTCGACATGTTCGACTAGTTCCTAGAATTTCCCCACTTACGGGTGGAGATTCGTTTAGATATATTGAATACGAAGTTCGGGAAAAACGCTTACGTTCCTCTCCACAAATAATGTTATTGTCTTATTACAGACAAACTTATTTTACATTCAAATCTGAAGCGATTTTTCAACTGCGTGTTGCAGATATTTCCTCACAGTGTTTTTAGACTGCCTGAAAAGTTTTAAGCCAGTTATTGTAAGCCATTCGGATGCAAAGACAAATAAGCAGTTGGCGAATCTTTGGCAGCTGTTTCGTGGAATGTCACGCAAGGCTTATTCCTTTTTCAGGAGGAGTGTTGCGTGACATTTTAGAGAACGGTTGCGAAGGAAAACAGCAAAGTGTCAATCACGTGTCTTGGGCGGCTTCATCAATTGTTTTCAGGTAATCTAATTGTGAGAACTATGTGATTAATTTATTCCTATTCAATTAATTACTTCGACTCAACAGACTTCCCCCTAAAACTTATGCTAAAGTGATACCGAAACTTTTAGAGCTAAATAGATGTTCTTTTCCATAATCTCACGAACAAAAGTTAAAAATTAAGTGCTTTTCATCGCGTTTCAAGTAAAAACCATCATTCCCATGACTGATTAATGAATGAAAAAATTTTTCTAAACAGCACTTGCAGTAACCATACAATTGTTTCCTTTTAGTTCAGAATATTTTGACAAAAAAATCACATACCAAGGTAAAGTATTACCCCAAATTGAATCATAGCCAAACATAAACTTAATGAAAATAATCTTTGCCCAAAAAGGCAAAATAATTTTTAGCTGAAGCGAATTCGAGAAGTTAATAATTTAGTGTAGAAAAACTAAACCAAAGTAATCACAACTGCGCATCAGAACAAAGATGACATCATTATCAACCAATGAGAACACAAAACAAAAACTAGCAACTTGCTTGAAGCGCGGGAAAACGCGTTGACCAAGTTGGGATTGGTTTAAGTTTTGCATTTGATTGGTTGAGATGATGGTGGGAAAACGCGTTGACCAAGCTGGATTGGTTTAAGTTTTGCATCTGATTGGTTGAGATGATGGCGCGAGTTTTCTGGACCAATCACAGACCGCAGTAAAGCAAAAACAAAGCAAAATGTCTCTACCAGGTTACTCAAACATTTGTAAGCGGTGGTTACTTTGATCAACAACAACAATTCGCCCAGTACTAAGAATAGCTATTGCATTTGGAGACCGGATTTCTCCTAATCCGTTACCTTTCGTTCCAAATTTGCCCACAAAAGTTCCATCAAATTCAAATAATTGTATTCTATTATTATTTGTATCACAAACTATTATGTGTCCTGATCTGTTCACTGTCATACATCCTGGACCATTAAACTCCCCGTCTCCTGTACCCTTCTTTCCAAACTTGTACTGAAAGTTTCCATTCCTGTCAAAAACTTTGATGCAATGTTCACCACTGTCTGATACAAAGAGAAATCTGCCACTTTGAACGCAATGGACAGGATGACTAAATGAGCCCTGCCCACCTATTTTCATTAGAAACTTCCCAGCTGGCGAAAAGATTATGATTAGTTTGTTACCCGCGTCAGCGACAAGGATGTTCCCCTCACCGTCTACGGATAAACCCCACGGAATAAGGAACTGACGATCGACAGAGCTTCCTTTCCCTGGGATACTTGCCATGAACTCACCCTCCCTATTAAAAATCTGAACCCTATAGTTGTTGTTGTCTGATACCAAAAGGTTACCGTTATTATCAAAAGCTATTCCCATTGGGCTATAAAATTCTCCTGCTTTGTTGCCTTTCTTTCCAAAAGATCTTAAATGATAGCCATCGCTGTTATAGAGTTGAACTCTATTATTTTCACAATCAGTTACGGCCATCTCGTTGCGGGCATTAACTGCTACCCCCCAGGGAAACTTAAACGTTCCTTTAGATGAACCTTTGTTGCCAAAAGATAAAACAGCTTTTAATTGAAATGGTTTTACCTGCACAGCAAATGGACTACCACACACATGTTCCCCATTTACCTTTACTATTACTTTGCATATGCCTTGGAAATTGGATGAATAACTGATCTGATAGAGTCCATTCTTATTGTCATTCATTTTTACTTCTGTAGCGCACTGTCGTTCTTGTTCGTCCAAGATCTCCACCGTTACATGGTCATTTTCATTGTAGCACTGTCCGCCTTCAACGTTTCTGGTAGTCAATGTAAAATGCGCTTCACGGTTAACAATTGCTTCTCCAAGTCCTTTTCCTTCAGCGACAGAGTGAAATGCTTTTGTTTGGAGTTTCATTAACAAAGTTCCAATTTCTTCGGTGTTTATTGTGGACAAAAACTTTGGATTCTCTGCAAAAACTATGGCAGGAACTTTTTCCGGGTCAAGGTCCACTGGCTGATTTTGAATAATATCTTGAAATATTGTCTCTATTGGTTTCTTCAGTTGAACGATCTCGGCGTTTGAACTTCGTATTAATAGTTTATCAGCTTTTTCCAGCGATGATTCGAGTATTTTAATTTGACGATCTACCTCTGTCTTTTGCATTGTAAGATTTTCCAGTACATTCTTCGTTTCATTCTCTAAAGCTGCAAAAATGTTTTGCTTCTTCGCTTCAATGGTTGCAATCAACTTGTTCACAAGTCCTTGAACACTTTCCTTCATATCATCGCGTTGTCTTACCAGCTGAGCGTAGTATTCATCAAGTTGACCGAGAGAGTTCATCTTTTTTTGCAGGTTGCGTCTTTGGACGTCAAGAAATGATTTAGTTTCAATCTTTTGTCTTTCAGCTTTTTCCTCGATGTGCTCTAGAGTGTGGCCACTATGACTCATCGTGGCGCAGGTTTGACAAACAGGCGATTCGCATTTATTGCAAAAGTATTTCAGTTCTTCTTTCTCATGTCGCGGCTTCGAGCAGTACAACGGGCGTTTCAACACATCCTCGAAGTCTTTGTACTGAAATTCTTTTAGCGCCATAACACGATGATCTTTGTTGCTCTTCATAATGTTATGTCCAATGACACATTCTTCACACCAAAATACGCAACATTGGAAACAGTAAGAACTTTCACAGCTCCTCTTTTCGCAATTTTCACATCGCACCTGGCTACTTTCGCACTCTTTTATGGCCAGCACATCGATCAAACCGTTTAGATAAAAACTGGTCGGAAGATCTCTCAGATCACCACTTTCAGGCACTCTGCTAACGACTTGACATTTCGGACATCTTATCGTCTCATGGCCATGGCTTGACCTGTGCCACTGTTTCAAGCATAGCAGACAGAAACTGTGAAGACATGGAAGGTGTTTTGGTTCCGTGTAGATGTTAGTACACACTGGACAAGACACTTCTTCTCGAAGATTATCTAGCAGTGTTTTGATATCCATGTCTTCAGTATCAAGTAGGAAGGGAGGTGAAGAGGCGAGGTAGAGTCTCGAAATTCAGCACGAAGCCTTGTGCTTCCTTTTTGCCTAAGAGTTATATTGGAATCTATTATCTGTTATGATAAACATATTCTTTGTGGCAACCAATCACTGTACGTTGCTATCGTATCGAACCAACCCAAGAGCATTTGATTTAAGATCGACTTAAAGAGGAAAAGCCACTTCTATTATAAGTAAATTGAGTGGCCTCGAAATTTCGCGAAACTGTGAGTGACAAACAAGTGTCGAAAAACATTACATAACTTCCTTGATAAAATCCTGCTGGATATCGAACGAATACTAGCGATTCTAATTAATATCAAAAGACAAAAGAATGCAAAACAAAGATGACCTCGCCACATATATTTACCTCTGACGTAACTTTAGGCTTGTTGTTCATGTGAGCGCTAAAAATTCCCACAATAAAACGCGGACACTCCATAGACTTATAGAAAATGAATTTGGATTTTACGAACTTCTCGCATCGGTTTACCTTAGCTCCAATCTCCTGTAATTGCTTTACCGTCACCCCCTAAGTAAATTCCGTCGTCCCTAGTTTCGTGAACTTTTTACTGCAATGAATCAAGTGGTGCTAGCAAGTAACGCGGTAGTCAAGCGTCAAGCATGCGTCGGTGGATCACAGTTTTGGCCAGCTGTGTACAACACGGCGGTCAAATGCAGGGGATACGCGAGGAGATTAATCTGTGACTCTTGTGCGCCAATTTCCCGCGCAAAATGTCTGAGGAAAGCATAGGAAAAAGCCGCTGTCTTAGAATAGATTATGCGCAAGAAAATTGAGACGTTCGTGGAAACCTGTTAAAGGAAACAAAAAAGGAAAACTCAAGACTTTTCGAACACAAACATATTCAGGTAGATTTACCATTCTGTTTTGAGCTTTACTCAAAAAGATGTACGCTCAAGTTAAGGTGGCCCTTTCGACTGGTATCAATAGGGACCTGCGTATTTTATAACGCGTAGGTACAAAGAAAGTAATTAACAACTATACACCGAAGTGGAGGTAAATATCCACCACCTTCAACGACACTTAAGTGAAAAGTTGTATATACCACACAGAAAAGTAAAAAAATTAGTTAATTTCTTTCAATATACCGAAAAATGGTCGAAAATTAAACTCTTGACGCGCCATTTTGTCTCATCGGCTGCTAGGAGGAGAATAGTATTTGCTATTCACTTCCGAACTAGCCAATCAGAACGCACGAAAAGCATTATTCACCTATGTGGTACGAATATACACGAAGAGTAAATACGAGTAGTTAATTTATTGGAAAGGACCGTATGCCTGAATAGCCAATCTTAAGTAAAGGGTCGGTAAGTGAATTTGGTGCCTACAGCTAGTGTAATAACCATGAATACTAAATTTAAACGATCAAAATAATATGGGGAAGCTTTTAAAACACCGTGATTTACCAGGTTGCGCGGTTTCTCGTAACTTGTAAGAAAAAACCTGGGCCTGACAGCCTGAAAGCACCCTACCTAGTTATTACAACGTTTGCACATGCATTAACGTTTAAACCCGGCGCTGCGAAAAAAGAGAAAAAATGAAACTTCATGAAACCTAGGAAAGGAATCAAAAGTTGTGAAAATTAAAACTGAAGAATTTTCGAATGTAAAGCATCTTCAATATAACGGGTATCCTGTAGATTTGCCTTTTTGTTTCGAGTTCCATAAAGAAAGAAAAATAAAACGTTTTCAAAACACCGTGACGTACTGGCTTGCCGAGACAATTTGGCTCTGACAGCCTGAAAGCAGGCCTCCAAGCCATAACAACGTTTGCTCATGTGCAGGAGTTTGACCAGAAGTCAAATATCCCAGTTTGTTTCTGAGCATACGATCATAGTTTTAAGTAACCTAGCCTTGTCATAAGTGTCATATCTATTTATGTGTAGAATGACCCTCCTGTTTTTCCTACACCCTAAATCATTGATAAGAATCCCCCTCCAACCCCCCCCCCCCATCAATGTTGAATTAGTGTAGCTAACAGTTCATAGAATCACGATGCAACATTTTTTTAGGGGGGGGGGGAGGAGGCGAATAAATTAAATTAACAAAGGCAAAAGAGATAAAATTGAAATAAAAAGGGTTGAGAAGGTCAATGTGTCGAAAATTCTGTCGCCGATCCGCGATTGTACGTCCTGTCTTTTTAAATTTCCTCCATGACAGTGGCGAAGTATTCAGGTTTAGTGCACTTTATTACTAAAGTTAGTGTTAGTCACAATACCCCGTTGTTGTCTCAAATGACCCTGTGTTGCTCCAAGTTGCCCAATCCAGAGTAAAAGAAAAAGGAAATTTGGCCATGAGGAATCAAGGAGATCTAGAAAAGGGCCCTTGATGTCATTCAGTGACTCTTGTCAGTGAAAGGAATGCAGTGTTCCCGAGTATGTTTGTGGGAGGGGTACCATTCTCCAATTGCATTTAGGGACGAATCAGCCATCTTCGCTTGAGAAATGTCAAAGAATTTTCGGGGGGGGTCACATGGTTTTCAGGGGGAGTGGGGTGATCATAAGCTCGTAATCCAACCTCATGGTTGGATTACGTGATATTTATCGCGACACCACCAAAATCCTCTGACCTCCGCCCCCTCTCCCCATAGATAATAAATGATTACCGGTCCTTTGGAGCGGAGCCACACCCGAATATAAATAATTGTTCGATTTCCGCTCGCCGTGGGCTATTACATGTAGAGTTCTGTGCGCAAAAACAAATAAAGAGTTCTAAATCCGTGGTCTTCAAACTTTTACTCGTTAATTTCTTTCTCAGCGACTACAAGAACGTATTCGATCAATCCATGAGAAAAGGCCTTTTCAAGGATAATATCAATTATCGGACCTCCCATGTAACCGACAAACGGACCCCTGATTTTCGCCTGCTCTCGCATAACTGACAATGAAAGATTGAAATTACAATAACCTGGTATCACTCTGTCGCCTATTAATTCAAATCTTCTCATTTTGAAGCCAACGTCCTTCACCTTTTGTTTGTACTCATCGATTCCATAGCACATGTTAATGTTTGGAATAATCCAAGCCTTTGCAGCTGCCTTTAGAATGAGCTGCTGTAGGTATCGTAAATCTTGAATTGCCTTCAGAACAATGATATCAGCCATCAATAATTTTCCTCCAGGCTTAAGAACTCGGAAGGCCTCTCGAAAAAAATCTTCTCTGCTATTCATATTGGGCCCTCCTTCTACGCAAAGGACGTAGTCAAAGGAATTTTCGCCATAAGGCATCTTCGTTCCGCTCCCTCGCGTGACAGTGACTCCGGTGTCACGCAGTCTACGCGTTGCTATTTCCACATTTGCAACACTGATATCCAGACCTTGCGTATTGCAGCCGTACTGGGACTTGACCCGCAGCATGCCTGCTCCCTGCCCACAAGCAACATCTAGCACGTCATGGTGCGGCTGTATCCCGCTGCCCTCCGAAAGTTCATCATATATTGCTCTGTAGCATTTCGGCCGTGGTATGGGTTCACCAGACTTCGTCTTCCATAATCCAAATGTCAGAAATCCCTCATTCCAATCATGACTGTTATCCGCAACGCGAGAGTAAAACTGTGAAACGTTCTCTTCATGCTCCGTAAATTCCATCTTCATTAGTACTCTTAAAAGGTGAGGACCTGTATAATAATAGAGAAAAAGACAGCGTTAGTGCAATTTTCGTGTGTCGAAAATAATCAAACTGCATTGGTTTTGTTTTTATTCGCACTGTAATTTGTCTACAAAAACTCGCGCCACTCTCAACCAATCAGATCGACGCTTGTTAAAACCAATCATAACTTGGTCGCCCACGTTTTCCCGCGCTTTTAGCAGTTTGCTCGGTTGTACTTTGAGTTCTAATTGATTCTTTATTAAGGCGTCTGTTTTCCTTCCTTCTGATTGGTCGTTTTAAGTTTTACGACACTCAATCATCATCATCATCATCATATTTTTATTTGCCTTATTTACATAATACAAAAAAAAAATTTTATTTACAGCGGTTATAGCTAGAAGGCGAGGAGACCCAGGAAGCCACCGGGCTTATGGGAGAGCCACCTCACTTACATTAATAAATAAAGTAAAGAAAAAGTGCTGCAAATGTGCGGCTAGGCCAATTCAAGGATTATTTAAGTAAAAACTCATGCATTTTCGTCTTAAAACTAAGGTTTGACGAACGAGTGACTGAAACAGGAAGAGAGTTCCAAATTTTAGGACCTTGGTAAAGAATTGTAAATTGCTTGAGATTTGTACGGCACAAATGCGTTCGATAATTACTGGCTGTTCTGGTACCATAGTTGTGAATTTGGCTATTCGTTACAAAAAGATTGAGAAGCAATGGAGGCAATAAGTTATTTCTATAATAAAACATGAATTTAGCGATTTCAAACGTATTGACTTGGAAAATATCTAAAATTCCTAGTTTGGAGAATAAAGGAGCGGAATGGGCTCGATAGTCTGAGTTGGTGATAGCCCGCACAGCTCGCTTTTGCAAGTAGTAAATTCTATTTAAGTTAGATACGTATGTGGACGACCAGGCACAGTTACAATAGACGATATAAGGATAAATTAAGGTGTAGTACAAAGTGAGCTTGGTTATAGAGGATAAGAAAAAGCGAGACCTGAATATAATACCTATTGGTTTAGCGATTTGTTTACATACATAGCTGATATGGTGTTTCCAAGTGAGATGATCATCAATATAGACCCCAAGGAATTTAGTTACGTTAGATTGTTGTAGGGGGTTACCTCCAAAGGAGAGAGAAATGCTGGAGTTAAATTTCTTCTGTCTGGGTTTAAAAATTACGTAGTTAGTTTTCCTTATATTAACTGAGAGCTTATTGCATTTTAGCCAGACATCAATATTTTGGAGTTCATCATTAGGTACGGATTCTAAGCAATTTGGGTTTGAGTGAGAATAAAAGATGCTGGTGTCATCAGCGAAAAGCAGAGGGTCTGTTAATTCAGAGGCATTAGGGAGGTCATTTATGTATAGAATGAACATTAGAGGGCCTAAAATCGAACCTTGAGGGACACCACACTTGATGGTTTGCATAGGAGAGCAAGCTTGATTGAATTGGGCAAATTGCTGGCGGCAAGAAAAGTAGCTTTTGAACCACTGCAGAGCCACGTCACGGATACCATAGTGCTCCAGTTTCGCAAAAAAGATATGATGGTCGAGAGTATCAAATGCTTTGGAAAGATCTAGGAAAACACCCACCGTTGTTTCGTGTTGGTCGATTGCAGAAGCTATGTTATTTACCAAATGAATTAGTGCGTGCGATGTCGAGTGATTTTTCCGAAATCCAAACTGACAGCGGTAAAGTATATCGTGTTTTTCGGCAAATTCTACCAAGCGATTGTACATGAAAAATTTGGAAAAATTAGACAACAAAGAAATAGGTCTGTAGTTTACAAAAAAGTTAGGATCCTCTGCTTTGAAGATGGGAATAATTTTAGCGATTTTAAGTTTGTCCGGGAAAATGCCTTTTAGCAGAGATAGATTGATAATATCTGCCAATGGAGCAGAAATAAGGTGAAATGAATATTTAATGACATGCATTGGGATATTGTCATAGCCAGGAGCCTTCTTTGAAGCGAACATGTCACAAATGTTTTCCAATTCACTTGTTGTGGTGGGCTTTAAGTTTATGGAGGAACAGATATTATCACCAAGAATAGAACGAAAAGAAAGATTCACCTTGGGTATAGATTTAGCTAGGTTGGGACCAATGTTTGTAAAGTATTTATAAGTAGTACTTATTTATAAATCGTCTTTCGACCTCGCAAATGAAAACCATCGGGTATTTTAAGGGCCTATCGTAAAGCCGGCAGAACTTTCCGAGCCAACATCTTTTTTCCGTTCCCCTAGGGAAGATGAACTTGGCTACGTGCGTGTGGGTGGCGTTCTCCTTATGCTTCGGTTGTTTTTGTCATCGGCTCATGAAATAATCCTTCTTCCAACCGCTCTTTTCAATTGGATGATTAACTTCTATTACTTGTGAGATAACTTTAACAATGAGGTTTTTCCTTTCGTGTGATGGATCTCATGATACAAAAGTGACCAAATTTTTGCAAGTACCTCTTGCATGACGAGCTTTGCGTCGGAAAAAAAATTAATGCAAATTTGCATAAGTAATTCAAGCCAATGTTGCCTCTTGGTGGCATGAGGTGTTCGCTAAACATTCTAGGACATCCGATAATCACTTCAAAAAATAGGTATGCAAAGGCATACATGTGTCTAGTGCGAGCTAGTTGCTTACATGTACTTCTTTTTTTTGTGGCATACAGTTGTTACCTCTTTCGATCTATCCCAATCATAGCAGACGTTTCGGAGCTTAAATGGAAACTACATATTCTTGGAATAATTTAAATTTAAGCGTAAAAGCGACGGAATTAGTTTTGGGGTAACAAAAAATGCAATTCTCAAAAGCGTAGGGAAAGGCCCGAAAATGAAAACAGAACTTCCTAACTTCAAGTGAGACTCTGCGATATTTGACTATTTTTTGGACTGATAATTTTATTTTTTTAAGTGTTCATATGTTTTTAAGGTATTATTAAATCGAAGATTTTGTCTTTAAATTATTCAACTTCCAGAATCTTTAACACAACGCTATGGCCATGAACTTATGTAAACAACGATGGTGCATATATCGCCCAGGTCTTGTAAGTTCAAGAAATTCCTTGGTTTTTTCGTTTTTGAACGGTCTATCTAAGACTTTTTGGAATAAAGATATATTTCTTGCTTACTTTCCTTGAATTTTATCAATAGCTTTTGGTCCAGAGAAAATATTATAGGGTTTGTATTCACGTGAGTGTTAGTTTCGAAGCGTGTAGTTCGTGTACTTTTCTCTTGTCTTCTGTTCTGGCTTCTTTTTAACAATTAATCCCTCATTAGTTAATGATTATTAATTAATAAGTTTGCCATTTCAATCACTTTCTTTTGAGCACATGTATCAGATATTGTATCTCATCTTTTATCGTCATTAGTTGCTGCTGTTACTTTCAATGTTCATCTGCTATCGTTAGGAGCTAGACAAAAGTAAGTCTTTCTTTATTTTACATTTACGATATTTCCCTCTCGGTCTGTATTGACTACATTGGTTTATTTCTCGCACTCAGTTCTCTTTATAATCGTCTCATTGTTAGTTAGGTATGTGTTGCATTTCCCAGGGTACTTTCTTAGTTTATGTACTGCTGTACTTTTTTTTTCAGTTGGGACCACACAAATTCAGCAACAATCTTTAATTATAATCTCGTAACCTTCAATCGCAACTTCCCCCTTTTCATCCGTATAATTCAACATGATTTCACACCGATTACTTGATTCTAATTTGTAATTTTGATTACATACTGCATTTAATTAATCCTTGTTTCTACTGTGCATTCTAATTGTCTTCTCCCTTCTACAAGTAACTTTTGGAGGAACAGAATGTGTAACAACTTATTAGGGACCTCTGCACGAACCATGAATTGCGAACAAAGAATTTGCATATCAAACCATGTGGTTTTAGAACCTTTCTTTAGAGGAGAAATGTTATGAAGATGGCCAGTAAGTTCATCCTCCATTTTTCAGGAACAGGCTGTAAGGGAAAAAAATGGGATAATACATGAAATTACTGGTATTGACACAAAGACTTAAAATGAGGAGAAGGTACTTAGATTTAAACAGAGAAATAAGTATATTTAGTTGTTATTATATAAACTGGCCAGGAAATTGTTTGCTACTATTGAGAGAAAGGGGAAACCAAATAAAATTGGAAAAAAATTGCAAGCTTACCTCTATCCCTATGTTTATTCTTTGATGGAAAAAAGTGTAAGAAGGTTGCCAAAAAGCAAAACAACCTTCAGAATTGCATTATAGTTTTAGGTTATCTTATTGAGGAATTTCATTGAGGAAAATTAGTATTTTTAGATCAGTTACTTGACAGTTAACTAACTGACTTCACATGTGTGCCTATTTTCAAGTTTCTATCCTTCAATTTATGCAAAAACACTGGCTTGTGATCTGAAAAATTGGAACATCTTATCAATACATGCATAAGTTATGATGATGGATGTCAAGTGAATTTCTGAATTAATCTTCCTACATTGAATTCTATTGGTACTTTATGACATTCTCAAACATCTTACATGTGTATTCAATTTTTAACAACATCAAGTTTTAATCAATGCACATATTGCTTTATGATCAGTGAAATATGTTTCCAGAATGTGTACAGTCACTTGTGATTCAGGCAAATTGATAATAATAATAATAATAATAGTTAATCTTTATTGAGGATGCCAACATCACAGAAAGAGTGGTTTACAGAAGGGTCCTCTAAAGGTAACTACAAATCAATATAATTACGTAAAAATGTAAATATAAATACAATCGAAAAATAAAACAGAAAAACATACATTATATTAAAAAATTAACACTAATTTAATTAGGATAGGATGATACCAATTGTCTGTAATTTTTCTCTCTTATAAACAAGTTATTGAGGGGAACTTTCTCTTTTTGAATTAAGTAATTGACATTAAAATCCCCAAGAAAAACATTAAAATCAGAACAGCAACTATTGAGAATTTGGGTCAATGCTAGACACATTTGTTGGACTGACACTTTCGGTGACCTGTACACACCTATGATATTAAC